AATTCCAAGAGTGGGTCCCGCAAAAAATAGGGTGATTTTCCACCGTTCGATAATAAGGTCCTCACCATCAACCGTTCAGAGGAAGGGTAGCTTTATTACAGTTACAGGTCATCACACACCATAACATCTCCTTTTCAAATTCGTCTTCGTCGCGCGCCAAAACCAAATGCTAGGTGGCAGTCGTGGACAAATTCAACGTCCTGTGGCATGCGATGCGAGAGATACCAGTAATAATATCCTCCCTCCCCCCCCTCTCTCTGTATAATAATAATTTTAGTTTAATTAAATGCCGCTTTAAAGAAAGGATTTTACTCCTCTCCGGTCCTAATTATAAGACCCAATTGACTTATTTTAGGAGATTAAGGAAGTAAGTTAAGTTGGTTATTTATAATAAATAAGTGTTGTCATTCCTAAAATCCTTGCTAATTAGTATATTAGCTAAAACTATCATTATTAGAAGGATTATCTGGAAAAAATAATATAAAATATAAGAGACCAAAATGGATTGGGTCTTATAATTAGGACCAAATAAAAAGTCAAATTGGGTCTTATAATAAGGACCGGAGGAGTATTTAATTATTGCCATAAGTTTATCACTATGATTTTCTCATATGATTAAACTGTAGACCTCGTGTTAGAAACAACCCAAAATAAAAAGGTAGGCCCTAGCATGGAATTGAAAATTAGTAAGTTATAAATAGATAAATTTTTATCATATCATATAACATATGTAATAAAAATAAATCCTTTTACTACCTCTAGTATTTAATATAGGAGTTAGTTTAACTTTCTGTGTGGTTCTGAATATAAGACCATCATTTACTTTATTATTATTTTATCTATTTTTTTTTAAAGTAATCCTTGTAACAATTATACATGTTAAAAATTATATGATTAAAAAAATTATTTTAGAGAAGATAATACCTATTTATTACAAATAACTAATTTAATAAATTTTCTTAATTTATTCAAATTAGTCAATTAGTTCTTATATTAAGAATTAAAAACAGTATATTAATTTTTGCATGGTTGCCATTTTTTAAGGCACAAACATTTTTCTATTTGAGACAATTTGATTGAGATATTGTGTGACACTAAATAATGTAAATATTTCTCTCAATAAAAAATTTTCTATCATAAAAAAAGCTGACCGTTGATTTTGTGATTGTCTTTTTTACATGTTCAACGTTAATAGATCAATATTCATAATATTCATTTTTTTATTTTGATATTAATATTAATGATTATTTGTAGCCAATATTAACATATATATATTAATCAAATTTCTAGGAGGTCACATGTGCGTTTATATACATGTGCTCATATAATTTTTTTTTTTTTAAAAAAAGAAAAGATTCACACTCAGAATCTTCCACCGAAATTTGAAAATATAAATTAAATTAAAGAAAGTGATCGAATTATGACCGGAATGATTATATACCTACCATCACTACATAGAAAAATAATATAGCAGTGAAAGTTAGGTTAAAAATTTTAGTGCATGTCGATTTGGTCAATAGGGCTAAAGTACAAGCAATTATATCCCCACCAAAATCTTTTACACCATATTCAGCTAATCCAACAACGATAAAATAACACGTTCTCCTATGAAAGCTATAACCAATTACAATGTTCATTCACGCATACAAGTAACTGTGGACAATCCCTTGGGGCAATCCTTAAGCTAAAACTTATGTAATATTTTTTTTTGATATATCAAATATTTATTTTAATCAAATCACTAAGTGGCTAAGTGCTGTATTAGACTATAAATTATTACATCATGTCTTTAATATACAGGTAAATAACTAATTTGAAAAAAATTAAAAAAATTAGATAAATTGATTAATTTTAACAAATGTGGGTTGATTTTCATAAATTACTATATTTAATCATATGTGTTGAAATTAACCCTTAATAGAAACTCCTTGCAATCAATATAAATGTTTTAAAAAAAAATTATAACTTTGAAAGAACAAAGTAAACTGCATAATTTTCTAGTTTTCTAAACCCAATAAATGTTGTATATAATTAAAGCAACTTTATTTCCTGAAGTTTTTTTTTTCATTTTTTTTCTCATACAAATATTTTCCCAATATATTCGCCAAGAAAATGGCGAGGTACTCACAAGTTATTAACTACTGTTTTTTTTTCCTATTAAATATTTTTTCATACAAAAACCAGAAACGGAAAGTAATTATAGTCTATTCTTTACCACGTTATTATGACTATATGCCGGCAAAAATCTAAAACGGAAAGTGATGAATATATAATTAAATAAACGTTGATTCTATAGTCCACTGCACTTAACTGGAAAAATTAATCCAGTAATTATTACTAGTAATTAATAATTAACACCCAAGTTGGTAAAAAGAAAAGAGAAAAAGAAAAAGAAATTAAATTAAAATTAAAGTATATCCAAAGGTGATCATGCATTAAGCAAATTAATTAAAATGCAGGTACAAACAAAATAGAAGGTATCTGCGCAGAGACACAGAGAAGATAACAAAAAAGAACGACGTGCATATTATTTATTCATTTATTTTGACACTTTTATAAAAAGAAAGGAAAAGTTAATGAAATTAAAATAATCCTCAAATAAATAAATGAAAAGGACGAACAGAAAAAAAAATCTCACGGTGCAAAAATCCAGACACTGTAATCTTGACTGTTGCGTTACTTTTTGCTAAAGGCGAGAAGGAGGGCATTATCGGAATGTTAAAAATGTTTTTTTTTTTTTTTACCAACGTCGGAAACAATTAAAAAAAAAACCAGAGAGAATATAATAGGCGACACATATGTGACTGCGAAGCAATCGTGGCAACGAAGGGGCTATCCCTACGAGAAAATGTTCTCCCGCCCTCCCGCTTCTTGAATCCTCATCCCATCAGCAAAAGCGAAGCCCCCCAATTATAGAGAGAGAGACAGAGACAGAGAGTCAAAAGCGGGAGTGAAGAGGAATGTAGTGAGGCTGCCTCTCTGGAAATGGACACACCAGAGAGGAACCAGATCGGAACCCCCATCTCCAAATTTGAGGTTTCCTTTGTTGGACTTTCTCTCGAATTCCTTTCTCTCGTGTTTTTATTTCGGCTTCAACTTTGGGTGTTCTCTGTGGGTTTCATGGTGGTGTCGAGCCGATTCATGGCCAAGGGGGGTTTACTTGGTTTTGGGGCTGCTTACTGTCGACCGTGCATATGCTTGGTTCGATAGTGTTGTGGGTTACTCTTGGTTTTTGGTGGGGTTGGCTTTTTTTGGAGTTTGAGGTTTTAATTCTCGTCATGCAAGATATAGTCCACTTATGGGTTGTTATATTTGGACTCTGCTTGACAAATCTTGTTCATGGTTCTGTGAATAATGGTATAGATCTCATACCAAGTTCAATTGGGAACTCCTCTAGGTTTTGTACTGGCTTTTTGACTAAGTCTTACAAATTATCCAGCAAACTGGAAAACCGTTACAGTTCTGCTTTGTTTCCTCTACTTCTTCTTTTGAGAGTATTTTAGTGAGCAGCCAATTTTTTAGGCTTGAATCAACTGTTTCTGAAGTTAAGTGAAGTTTTTGACTCAAACTTACTTAAGTGAAATCTGCTAATCTCAAATTAAAGTTTCTCTAACCGTCTCCTTTGGTGTTTATGTCAATTTTCCTGTAAGCTTTATATCAAAAATATTTGGATGCTCATGCTTTCCTCTGTGCCATAAATTGCGTCTATGATGTATATATTATATTGTTCGACAAGTAAACCATGTGGATCTGGTATATTTTCAGATTATCTATAGTGCACTTCTTCATTTGGTGTTGGTTGGGCTTCTTTTGGTGTCTGCATGGGATTGTGCTTTATTTCTCTGAGTTTGATTATATTTTTATGCAGGATTCACCCGTCTTCAACTTTATCAATAGTCTTTCTCCTATAAAGCCTGTTAAGTCTGTTCATAGTATTCAGACTATCAATTCACTCAGTTTTTCATCTCCTCCATCCGTGTTTACATCACCCCATGTCAGCTGTCACCGGGAATCTAGATTTCTCAGGAGGTAATTGTAATTTGCAATAGCCTTTTTAATGTTCTTTTAAATTGTTAGTTGCAATTTTGTGTGTTCTTTCATGACCCACTAGTGATAGCTGCTATTTCTCACATCAGGCATAACGTTATAGATGCATCAAAGCACAAGGTTTTGTCTGAAGATGGGAAAAAAATATGTTCAAGTGAAGAAGCTCTTGCAGATTCTACTCATACATATCATAATTCAAGTGAGCTACAAGGAAATGCTGATCAAGGGATTTCCCTGGAAGATTCAACAATTGAGCCATCTAATGAGCACTCAGACTTTCCAATTGAGCTACCACAAACCTTAAAATATGATTGTGGTAGCCCGGCATGTGATCCTCCACCTGGTGGTGATGAGACAAATTCTCTTCTGGATTTGTCAAGTAAGGCAGCATCAGATGTTGCGTATGTTGATGAAGCCTGTAAAAAAAGTTCACCCGAGTCTGAAGTGCTACTTCCAGGAATATGTCAAGCTGAGCCAAGAATTGGAGGCCCAGAGTGTGACTGGGATGGTTTACTTTCAGATGCTACTGATCTATTAATTTTCAACTCTCCTAACGAAAGAGAAGCTTTAAAGGGTTTAATGCAAAAATCATTTGACCCCACAGGACGGTTTAGCAATTTTATGTCTCAGTTGCCACAAACTACCTTAAGTCATGGTGAGAGAATGCGAATTTTTGATCCAGCTACTTCTGGTTCAGAACATGAAACTGAAGATCATCCTTCTCAGCCAGAAGAAGTCATCGACAATGATCAGGCACAGGACAATCTTGCTAACGCTGCTGGGATGGGTGGTAATCCTGATAATACGTTGGATAATCAGGTAGAAGTGTGAAACTTTGTTTGAGTGCTCTGATCTGCTTTAATGTATATGTGTTTTTCATGCATGTCATTGCATGGTTCCATGTGTTTTTTCAGAATTTCGCTGATAATTCACAAACACAGAATAGTCTTTTGAGTAGCTGATTCTTTATCTTCATGCATTTAGTGTCCAAGAAAATTGTTGATTTTATCTTCTATGTGTGGTAATTACTTCATTCACAATATGCCTTCATTCCTTACAGTGCCCTTATATAACATAAGTATCCCAACAGACATTTTCATGTGCTGTGATTAAAGACTGGTGTTGATATTTACCTTTGTTGTTTGTGATTAAATAATCTTTATACCTTTTCATTTTTGGCAAATTAAGTAGCATTTCTAATTCTTGCAAAATCCTCCATGAATATTGTTTGTACACAAGGGCTAAGGCATCATGCGTGTCTTAATTGGTTGGGCAAATAAGTCATTCTAAATGAACCTTTATCATGTGATCTTGTGTAGCTTGTTTCAATAACACGCCATGGCATACGAAGGCGTTGTCTAGATTTTGAGATGGTTGGGGGAAGAAGGAAGAACTCCAATGATGGTTCAAATAACAGTAGTTCTAGCACATTACAATCTGATGAGAGAAATGTTGCTAATGATAAGCAGCTTCTTCCTGCAAAACGCAACGGTAATTCACAGAAGTGCATTTTGCCTGGAATTGGCTTACACCTGAATGCTCTTGCGAGTATAAAAGATTTCAAAAGCTTAAAAGTTGAAAATACATCTTCTGGAAGACAACTCAGCCTGCCAAGCCCTGCCTTGCAACAATCCTCTAGCCAAGAACATAGTCTAGCATTGGTGCCTTTATCAACCGAAGGAGATTCAGATCTGCCAGACAATGGGATTCAGCCTGCTGAAGATTGTTCCCAGCCCTCAGGATATGCCATTGATGAAGATTTCAACCAGAATAGCCCCAAAAAGAAAAGGCAAGTACAGTTGTTACACATGCTTCTGCTTGATCAGCCCTATTATTTATTTACTTTTTTTTTTTTCTAGAAAGTTATGCTCTCTTGTTTCTGCATCAGACTGATGGCAAATTTGATTTGCAGGCGTAAGTTGGAGCCAGCTGGGGATGGTGAATCTTGTAAGCGTTGTAATTGCAAGAAATCCAAGTGTTTGAAGCTGTAAGTTGAAGTTCAAATTGCTTACTCCTTTGTTTCTGGTGACGTTAGGTTTTATGCATGTTCTGACATGGCCTGCATTTAAATCTTTGCTCTTTTTCTTTTTTCTGTTTTTAAATCTGAGATCTATTTTGGAAGGTAAGGATTTTGAACGACTTATTAAGTGATTTTTCCTCCTCCATGGTCACACATTCTGGTTAATGTAGACGAGTGTGGATATAATATTACTGAGGCCTCATCATGTTGAATCAACATTGGTTAATGCAACTGCCTTAATATTTTTTTATTTCTTTTTCTGTTTAAACCTATATGAGATCAATGAAGCAGACCATTGAATTTTGAGAAATTATAATTTTTCCAAAGGATCAGGTGATCATGCTTCTTTGATGATATTTCTGGGTTCTCCAACTGGTATGAATCTTCAATGCAGCTTCAAATGTAATAGATGTACTACATAAATACGTCAGCATATAAAAGGCTAGAATAATCTGCACTGTTTGTCTTTTTGTCTTGAAATTTTCACTAGTTGAAAAGATTTGAAAGCCATGTATATGCATGGGGGGGAACTTTCTAGTTGTGAAAACTAGCTCATGAAATTCTCTTACAGTATTATCCAGTAGAACTCCCTCTACCATTTATCAGATTTTGTGCTAAATTTTTGTGTTATTTGCATCCGTGCACCTACATGATCAATGACAATGAGGAAAAAAGTGAAAAAAGAAAGAAAGAAATGTCTTTATAGTGATCAGAACTTTCTTTTTAATAGTCTTTTTATAATTTTTATCAGCTACTGTGAGTGCTTTGCTGCTGGTGTCTACTGCATAGAACCTTGCTCTTGCCAGGATTGCTTCAACAAGCCTATTCATGAGGATACTGTTCTTGCAACTCGCAAGCAGATTGAGTCTCGTAATCCTCTAGCCTTTGCTCCTAAAGTCATTCGAAGCTCTGATTCTGTACCTGAAATTGGGGTTAGTTATCTAATTTCAACTCTGATTTCTCATTGTTGAAAGTTGAGGCACATTTTGTTCTGTATTAATTATTTTCTTTTTGCAGGATGATCCCAACAAAACTCCAGCTTCTGCACGGCACAAAAGAGGATGTAACTGCAAGAAATCAAGCTGCTTAAAGAAATACTGTGAATGCTATCAGGTTTTCTCCGTTGTGATATCATATATGCCTCAAATCTCAGTTGTAATTTGAATTACAATTGTCGTTTTCTTTTGAAGGGCGGTGTGGGTTGCTCCATTAGCTGTAGATGTGAGGGATGCAAGAATGCGTATGGTAGAAAGGATGGTAAGTCAGCCCTTAGGTTGTAGATGATTAGAATGACACGTTGCTGATCAGGACCTTTAGATTTGCTTCTTCAATTCTTTAACCACATGCATCAAATGATTTGTCGTGTGTCATAGTTCCTTCGGTTTCATGTCAAGTTCTCTTTATTCAGGTTCCATTCCTATTGGAGTAGAGGCTGAGCCAGAAGAAGAAACAGAACCATCTGAGAAGGCTGTGACTGAAAAATCCTTACAAAAATCCGAGATCCAGAACAACGAAGAGCATCTGGAGTCCACACTTCCCACAACACCATTACGAATGTGCAGGTTTGGTTTGTTGTTTGCCCTTTTGTTGGTTAATAATAGAAAGAACTGATTATGAATTCTCATTCGTGTCTTTTTCAAATTTATGTGACAGACCATTGCTTCCTCTATCCTTTTCATCAAAGGGAAAACCACCACGATCCTCTTTCATCACTACCATACCAGCTTCTGGATTGTACGCCAGCCAGAAACTTGGGAAACCCAGCATCCTTCGGTCTCAACCCAAGTTTGAAAAGCAGTTTAAACCCGTTTCCAATGACGAAATGCCGGAGGTTCTCCGGGGTGACGGGTCTCCTAGCATCAAGACATCATCTCCTAATGGCAAGAGGATCTCCTCTCCTAACTGTGACTTTGGGTCATCTCCCAGTCGCAGAAGTGGCAGGAAGTTGATATTACAATCCATCCCATCATTTCCTTCTCTCACTGCTCCTCACCTTTAGAATGGGAATCGTTTTGCTTCTTAGTTAGCAACCCCTTTTCTTTTTCGCCTGTTTCTTTTCAATTTCTCTGTATTAGAAACTTTGCGTAGCTGTGTGCATAATGAGCTTGCTTTTATGTTGGAGATGTTTTCATAATCTACAACTTAAGTTGTAATGTATAATATGTTGGGAGTATTTAGATATAATCATCGCTTTGATATTTTCTAATGCATTTTTGTTGTCCTGAGTTAGGAGAAATGGTTATATAATTAAGTTCCTACAGTTCATGTTGGGATTTTCCTCGTTGATGTTCAAGTTGTCAGTGGTACTTGTTTGCCATGTATAACTTAATGAAAGTTTAATGCAATAAGCATTAAATGTTCTTTTTTTCTTAATGGGCATCGTTCTGCAGGATTATTGAGGGTAAGGCTTGATTTTGTTCATTGCGTTGGTGGAAATATATAGAAATTTCCATATTTCGTATATTTGTTTAAGTGATCATCAGGTGGGATTGATTGGAAACTGAATTTGAGGATGAAGGAGAATCATTTGTAGCCAATTTGATCCAATTTGTGTTGAGTTTGGTTGATCTACTTTACTGGAAATAATTGATCAAACTGAATGAATAATCAGGTTCAAATAAGTTGGCTAGTTGTGTGCATCCCAATATCAATAAATCAATATGAATAATCCTGTGTAATAATCTATATCAAAAGGTTTATAGCTTATAAATAGTGAGACTCGTTTTAAGCTACATGCAATTACACAGGGTTTATTCTAGTTTATACATAATATATATCTATATGCGGTGTTAAAAATTGAACAGTTCACACAGTTTAAGAGTCAAGTACAGTTAGCTCATTTTTAAAACTGTGTAATACATATAATCCACACTAGTATAATATGAAAACTTAGGATGTGTAATTCTTTAGACTCTGGGCAATATGCATGCGGCTCACTTGAGTTTTAGGGTTAACACTGCTTGATTCTTATAGTTTAACTTCATTTTAGTATTGATTCTTATAGTTTTGAGTTATAGGTTTTTGTTCTTAAAGTTTTTTTCAGTCTAAAATGTAAATCTTTATACTTTGATAAGAACTTAAATCATTTTGCTTTATAAAAGACCAAAACTAATAGTTTGAAACCGTGTGAAGTAAAACCAAAATGAGAATAAACTATAAGGATTAAGGACCAAACATTTTATTAACCCTAACTTTTGCATCAAATGTGAAAGAAAAGAGAAAGTTTAAGGCGAAGATTGCTAAAACATCAGGGAGTTACTAATTTGCCGTCCCAAATTTCTTACCTAGGATACGTGTTCTGTCTTGTTCAATGTCATTGACCAATAATGTTCAAGTATCTATCAATAAAGATTGAACTATGTTTTTTTTAGTTAGTTACTACCCTATTTCTATTTGACCGCGCTACACATTGCTAACATTAAGAAATGGAATAATTGGGATTCTTGAGTAACCGATTGAGCTGCTAAAGTAACAAAAGTGGTGATAAATCCCATCAGTAAAATAGGGCCTATAGAGAGTCCTCTATTTCTTTCTTTCTTTCTTTTTTTTTTTGCTTATGCAGGGTATCCACCACCGGCAGAAGTGACTATTCCCTTTGCCACAGGAACCTCCACTCAAGGACGAACGGCTGGCCACAAGAGCATTTCCATGTCTAAGGGTGGGATTTGAACCCCCACCACTTGGTTAAGGGACCAAGTGAGGTTACCATTAGGCCACTACCGCGTGGTTAGAGTCCATCTATTTCAAATCTCCAATAAAAAAAAAAATTGGATTCATTTATAATTCTCCATCAATTGGACTAATGGATCATCCAATTGGAAATGATAACAAAAGGCATGGGTTGTTATAAGGAGATTCGTTAAACATATAAACATAGTATACCATCTAATTACCTTATTTCTTCCATGATAAGAAGATTAAGGAACCCCCAGATATTGGGAAAACTACAACTATTGTTAATAAAAAAAAATTATGGTAAAAATAAGATACGTTTCGACCAGAAAAACTTGTCCTCAAAATGGAAAAGATTTTTTTCCCCGTTTTGAGCACAGGTTTTTGTCATTAAATCAATAGTATTTGTATTTGGTTTTTTGAAAATATCAATAAGTTAGACCCATGCTTTGAGTTGTTTCATGCCAAAAGTTACTTGTACTCGAAGCTCACAAACAAAAAAGTGCATTAAATTGCTAACAAGAATTGATTTAGTTGGTAAGGAGCTAACTCATAACCCATAAAGTCGTGAGTTTAAATCCTGCTGTCAATATGAGAACCTTGTTGATGGGCGATCTATAAGTACCTTTGTAAGCACTCTCTAAACTTGGAGGCATGTTTTAACTCTTGTGAACCCTCCAAACTCGACTCATCTAAACTTTTATTTCACCAAAAGAGGAAAGAAAAGAAATGCATTAAATTGATAATTTTTTTCACATTTATTCTTATTAAAGAAAGTGTTAAAAATATGCTTTATATTTCTTCTCGCCTATTTACTTTCTCTCTCTGCATTTATCAAGTCAACATGGGTAAAAGAGAAAAAAGCTCATTAATTACCTTACAAATGACTTATATTTAAGAACAAATTTTTTCTCTATAAGCGATTTATAAATAGGAACATAGGGGTATATTACTCTCTCTCCAAATAAAAGTCATATTACTAATATGTGAATACTAAAAAAATTACTTAAATTAATTATTCATAACAAATGTGTGTTAATTTTCTAAAACAATCCTTTTTTTTAATCTTATGTATATTAACTACCCTTGATGGAAAGCCCTTACCATATGTAATCAATAGAGATATTATATTTAGAATCAAAATAAACTCATTATCTAACTCTTATATTTGAAATCAGAATTATTTTGTTGTCAGGACTTTGACTAGTTAAAATGTGCCCCTCAAAGATACATCTTCCCAAAGTGAGGCTTAGGGATTAAGATATGATTTTAGGAGTGAGAGGCTGTACTTTTAAACACATTTTGGCGTTGGTTGCCATCCTGGATTTGGCCACACACATATATACACTGATACACAAGAATAAATTGATATGATGATACCGTATAATGATATAGAAAGCCATAGTAAGTATTCTTTTTAATCAATCCTCCACACTATAACAGAAAAGTCATTTAAAATGTTGAATTGACCGTGACGATCCAATTAGTGCATTCGTTTGCCTCTCAAGAGACATGATTTGAAAATGATATTTCAATCTTTAGTAGAATGCTTTTTAACTTACTGCAGCATTGTCTTTGTTGATCACATTATTACTTCTACAGCATCACCAGCCCTTTTGTTTGGGTTGAACAAAAGGCTAGAGACATATGTATTCAAAGGACAATTATAAATGTAGGGGACCAATATAAATCCAGTGTATCAAGAGTTGAGATTTTCTTTGGAAAATTAATTTGCCTTGCAAACAATTGCTTTTCACTGGGAAACTTCTACACTAAGCTTTGCCTTCATTTGATGTCTTCCGGAAACAACATTTTAAGTGTTGGAGAGACATGTCTTTTGGACCGTGACAAGGAAGAAACTCTTGAGCATTTATTCTTCTCTTGTCCTTATACTCAAGCCTTATGGTTTAGATGCTTTTCTATTAAAATTTCTGTGGAGATTTTTTAGAATTTCATAAGCTGGTTAACGTCAACCTTTGTTGTTCTCTTGAATAAGAAAGGTCATATAAATCTAGTTCATGGGATTATTTGCTTGCTTAATATGATTTGGAGGAAGAGAAATAGGGTGTTGTGTGAAGGTAGAAAGGACTCCTTTCTTTCAGTCATTCGAGATTGGAAATGTCAATTTCTTTGCTAAGCTTCAAGTACATTGACAAAGCTGCGCGAATTCAACGGTTAGCTCCCTCTCATCTGGCTTTACAATCCAATGATTGGGATATTTTGTTGTTTAAAGTTTAAAAGGCTCCATAAACATTATTGCCATGGTATCACTTGTCTTAATAGGAAGCTTATGAGGAAATTACTTCGGAAAAATATAACGATGGCGGGTCCTAACTTCCACTCTAAATACCTTAGGGCATTTTTCTTTTAGATTCATCAATCTGCTCTGCTAGACTCTGGGACCTACTCTGTGTTGGGCATTCACCGCGTTGGAAAATGATTCATGCAAATTCCTTCTGGCCCTGAGAAGCCTCTCACTATTATCTGGCAGGAAATTCTCACTCTTTTTTGTAATTTCTCTTATGCTACTATTAATTCTAAAGATTGTTTTTTGAATTTTGGTTTGCTTACTACAGTAACTTTTAAACTTGCTTCATTTGATATATTTCATTTTGTACTTGCTTCAAAAAAAAAAAATTAAGCGTTCCAACGTCTCCAATCAAAATATACAAAAACATAAGTGGAAGCACTCTCTCTCAAAAATCACTAGCTCCCCCACAAATTCTGGGATTTCGCTCATTTTGAGAATATGCCTTGGGAAATGCGAAATGTCTATTAGTAACTTATTTGACGATGAAGACTTGCTTGAATAAGCTTTTTCTCCGCCTAGACTTTTGGAGAAAAAACACCACCGCATAAGCCAGAAAATATAACAATGGTCTGGTGGAGGAAGTTAATTTATTAGGGTGTTTAATGCTCTTTTAGAATCTTTACCAACCTCGATTTGCCCCTTTTCTCTCCTCACTTTCATGTCTTTTATCCCTTATCTCTCCATTTTCTTTTCTCTCTAGAAGTTCGCCATCACCTCTTCTCCTTTATCTCTCCCCCCGGGCCTGTACTCTTCCTTTTCTCTCAGCTAAGGGTGTTTTGATAATCATTTCCCTAACTTAAATTTCCAAAAATCAAATAAAATAAAAGTCATTTTTGCCATAATCCGAACACCCTATAATCGTTTCCTAGCCGGACTGTGTAGCAGCTCGGATACATCTGAAGACCAAGGTTCTACATACATACGCATCTAATGTGTAACGTGTTTTTTGAGAATACACTTCAAAATGTGCGCAACAAGCTTGCCTCACAAACTCTGAAAAAAGTAGCTAATCAGTTCACTTCATACCCGTCTAGCTCTGCTGCATTCATATTTTCGTAATTTGCCCCCTTAGCTGTGGGAGGGAATGATTCTTGCTACACAAAAATCGTATAAGCTGATTTAATAGAGAAAGTGCCATTAATCACCGAACTGAGATGGCAACATCAGCTCATCATATCATGTATCCCCTGCCATGGTTAAAGCTTAGATTATATAGGGTCCCTACCC